GAAAATGTAATAATGAAAGTTTAAAAATTTTAATTACGTAATTGGAATTAAATAGAAAAAAGTGAGATGAAAATAATATTTTATTTTGTGATTTCTTTATCTGAATCAAATTTTAATTAAATAAACCTTGTGCGATCAAACGAAGCCAAATCTAATCATCATTTCCATTTTCCTATTTCCATTTCCATAAATAAAACCATTATTAATATATATCTCTCTCTCTCTCTCTATCTCTCTCTCTCTCTCTCTATATATATATATATATATATATATTTTTTTTTTACTTTTATCTCAGAAAGGGAAAAAACGAAGAAGAAAAGAGAGGACACAATATGCTGGAAGAGTTGTTAGATGAAACGAGCCGTCTGTGAGCTGGGCACGACTCGTTAATGCAGTTTGGCTCGAATTGTTTGACAAACAAATCGAGCTCGAATTCCCTTAAAACTTTTTTAGTTAACGGACCGGGCTCGACTCGGTTTAATTTGACTCGCTAAGACTAAAAAAAAAAATCTTTTATATAATTATTCGTAGTTCGGCTCATCAATATTGATAAACGGGCCTAGCTCGAGCTCGAACTCGATTTTTGCTTCATTTACTTAACGAGCCGAGCTCGTTTAGGGGCGCGAGCTCAAGCACCCTGAGTTCAAGCTCGACTCAGCTCATTTACAACCTTTTGTGTGCAAATGAATTGAAATATTGTCATTTATTAAAAATTCACCAAAATAGCTAGATATGGTAAACAGCAGTGCTATTGAAACAAGAATGAAAAATCAGTGTTGGTTCTTCTCTCTCTCACACACACACACTAAATTACAATTTACTATCATATCATTTGAAGAGCAATCAACATCCAAACTATATTCATGGGACTTTTGAAGAGAACTTAATTGTATTTCAATAAGTTTGATTTTTCATGATTTTGTTTGTTTCCAATTGGTTGTGAAATATGTTGGTTACAGGACTCCCAGAACTAAATGAGTAACACCTGCTCAACTCATCTCTCCACAGTAATATAGATTGAACACAAAGATCAATTTGGTTCTCTTATATATAAACAACAGCTCTTACACATATACACCCCAGTAGTAGTTAAGTTAATGAGAACTATCTATTTCAATATGTATGGATTAAAAAAAGCTTTTGTTACTTCCATAAATATGTCGTGTTGCAAAGTAGATTTAAGGTCCAAGAAGACAACATCTGTCGAAGAGGTCGACTCGTCATCCGTCAAAGAGCATAAGTTGCCCGTAGATATTCAATGATATCTGCACTCTCAAACATTTGAACCCCGGTGTTTGGATCTTCTAAATAAGGAACCTGTTTTTCATTTCAAGTTATAAAACGGGAGGCACTTGTCAATCGTCAAACACATAAAATCATCCAATAATTTTCATTTTTTGTTAAGAAGAAAACAACATTTGAAACATGGAAGTTATACCTGAAAATGGCCGACTCTTTCATAGAGTACATTCCTTTTAGCGCTCCCTCGTGCACAACTACAAAGGCAGAATTTGTCAAAGAAAATAATTACAATAAAAAGAGAGTGCCTTTGTGCAGGGCATACAAAATTTATCTTGAGTACAAATTTTGGTTTTGCATTTGCCCCATTTTTCTTTTTCCCTTTTGTTGGTTATGTATTTGCAAACTGAATAGTGAATAGTGACTTAGAGCAGGTCTTAGGAGTAAAAGCATTTATGACCACTATTACTAATTGTTTGTGATACTTCTAATCTCAAACGAGAATAAACAATTTGAAATAGAATTTATACTATACCTGTGGAGTATGTGTGGTAGCTCTAACTCCACAAGTACTTCGCGGACGACTTTGCAAAATGGTGAAGCCTGAACAGAATATGAGTTTACAGGCAATAAATAAAGTAATTATGTACAACATGCGTAAGATATGAGATGAGATTAATGACCAACACTACTTGACTTATTATGTTAAATTGACATTTTAAGAGTGAAGCTAGGAAACATGGGACAAGTTTAAGGTAACGTGAGTCTAACCTCATAAGCCCAAATTTCGAGAGGCTTAGGAGGCAATTTAGATGCAGTATAGAACGAACCCTGCATATTACGATCGGCATAACATCATGGAAAAGGAATAAAAGGTATATAACTCCAAAAGCATATTTACGAGTCCAGACCCAATTTTCTAAAAAGAATCTAAATTTTATGCCACACACAAAAATCAATGAATTTGAGATTATCTTGAGAGAAATTTTACCTTCCCCATTCGACCAATCATGGCAAGTCCCTCCGTTAAAGTCTATAAAGAGAATGAAGGTGGGTAGTCAAAGTGATATTTGTCAACAAATATGCTACTTTGATAATATGGGGTGAATTCAAAATTAAACTGCTTACAGTTAAAAGACCAAGAGAAAGCAGGAGGGGAACTTTGCCATCACCTGAAAAACAATTAGCATAAGAAATGTTAAAGTTGCTAGATTGAGAAAGCTTAAAATTGTATTAAGACTTGTGTAACGCCCCGTTCAATTTATAGAATTTCTCGGATTATTCTATTTATCGAATCTTAATTTTGAGATTATATTTTATAATATTATATGGATACTGTGATTATATAGCTCGTACAGTTTTATTTTTTCAATCGACGTTGAATTTCGGTTTAATCGTGTAAGCCGAATTGTTGTTTGTTTTAAATTCATTTTCGAACCCTAGCTTATTAATGGTCTTAGCCACGGTTCATGCATGGTAATAAGAGCTTATTAATTAATTTCTAAGCTTAAGTAAGTCATGGAAGCATTATCAATAGTCAAAGCTCTTGTAGGTTCACTTTGTGCAACTTATTGCCGGGGCTGATAAGAACCGAGCCATTCACCTTTCTCTAACCAATGGTTCAAACCATGGTTCCTTTATCTCAAATCTAATACCATGAGAATGAAATCAGGTGGATTAAAAGTCATATGAGCTATTTTAGTCCATGTGAAGGTGAAAGGGAGTCAACCATCTTGGCATTTAGTAATAATGTGCTAGGTTGTTGTTATATTGCATGTGCTAGTCTTGTTTTTTCATGAGAGGTGTAAGATTCTTGTCCCCATGTTCCTTGATGATAAAAATCAGAGTATCTTAAGCCTTACCAACCCAATAACTCGTCCATGTGCTCAAGATTCACACACCTAAGAGTTGAAGAAATTTCCTTGCTAATACACCTAAGATTTCTTCATTATTTGTCCCTTTTATAGCCAAAGAGTCAACACCCATGTGAAGCCTTTACTTAAGGCCAAAACTCAGCTGATAAAGTCACATTAATCCTTATAACTTTCGTTCATAATCACCCCAAAGTCCTCTCCAAACTATTAGAAGTTATATCAAGTTCAAGAGCAACTTAGAGCCTTTGCCGAGAAGAACTTCAACCTAGTTTCATCTTGTTTTTCTTGAAGGCTTGAAGAGGTTAGTATGCTAAATCCTTTTTAGTATTATGTAGGGGAGTTAATTTGTTATTATGTGTGTTAAATTATGACTAAGTTTCATTTTATATGAGGATATATCGATATTGAAAGGAGACCATGTAGTAGAAGACTTATATTTCGATTTTTACTACCTCTGTTGTGTTGCTGATAAGAGCATGAATTACTCGTTTTATGAAGTTTTGCTCTGCATATGATATGTAGATCTTTCGGTTGTGGTTATGTGAGTTTTAAAATTTTGAAAATCCGATTTGAAATTAGAGAGATATGATTTTTATAAAAATATAGCGCCAGCAATTTAACAAAACCCGGCAGCAAGTTTATGTTGAATGTTTTACCTATTTGTGGCATCTTAATGTACTCAAATTCATTTTTGATCTTCATAAAACTTATAGGTTTATTGTTTAGCTTTCAAAATAAGTTTAAATCATGCAATTTAGAGTTTTAGTTGATTTTATATAATTTTTCTAAGTTGGGTTTATGTCCAGAATTTTGATGCAGTGGCTGGGTAAATACTCAAAATGTATGTCCTGAAATGAGGCCTATAACGTGATTATTTGCAAATGTGGTCTTCAGTAAAGTTGTACAAATTTGAGTTAGCTATCATATGGTTTTTGAATCTCATTAAAAACGTGTCTGTAGCTCCGGTTAGCTAGTAAATACTGAAGTCTGGTCGGTTACAATTTCTCGACTTTTGACTGCTACTCAGTTTTGAATGTTTGATAATTTATTTCCTAGTAAACGACCTTATTTACTTTTAATGTCTTCATAAGAATTTTATATACATACCTTAGGATTACAGTGCCACTTGAATCATATTCATCCGAGTTATGTACTGAAAGTTATGTTGATTTTAAAAACGCTGCCCGGGTTAAATTTTCAAAAACGTATGTGGTACTTTCGAAAATGATATTTCCTTGATTAAATGCTTATGTGAGCATAATTGGACTAAGTGATTATTATGATTAGTTAGTCATGGGTTGAATAGTCATTTATAGGACTATTTTAATAAATGTAGGTGCTTGACGAGCCGAGCTCACCGCTTACCCATTATTGTTGTGCTTTGGCTTGTTATCATCCAGGTGGGTTTACTTATAAAATTATATATGCCATACGTGTTGTTTAATGTATTATTGGTATGATCAATGTATGCATGTGAACCATGTAGCCTACTGATGTGAGCTGTTACGGCCGTCGGTACGGTTGTCCCCGTCGAGTTACGGTACGGTTGCCCTTGCGAGGCAAGTCTCCTTAAGACCTAATGAAAGGCCGTGTCCGTTACAGTGGCACGCACTCCCGTCGTTAGGGTTTATGCATCCCCTTTCCGCGGCTAATGATAGATGTGCACATGAGTGAGTTATTGTTGAGATTAGGAGATGAGACATGATGATGATTGATTTATATTCATACTGCGACCATACCATCTAAACATGTATTATTTATGTGCATAGTGGTGAGCACACTTTTCATCTAGTGCTCATCCCCACCTACTCTTTACCGATGCAGGTTAAGCAGGAGCTGGGTGACGAGAAGAGGCGAGTGGGTCGGTCAAATTTTATTTATTGCTTCCGTATGAATAAGGCTTTATGAACCCGGATTGTTGGGTATTATGGATTGATTATATATTCATGTTGAGAATTATGTCTCGTGATATGTTTCGGTTAATGAAAACCGTTTGTGAAAACCGGGTAATGAATCCCCGTGAGCCCAGATAAGACTTGGGTTATGAAAAATGTTGTTTAACACCCATTGAATTTTTGAAAATGATTTTGAAAATTTTACACTGATTTTTTTTAAAGTCCGGAATTTCTTTAAAATCAAAGTGGGGTGTTACAACTTGCTTATTTTGAAATTTTGCATACGACATTACGTATTGGCTACACATTTTCACTGCGCTTGATTGAATATTAAACTGAAAAACAAAATAAACAGCTAAAAACCAGGTTCAACAACTTTACCATAATTCTTGACCAAATACTTTATTATGTCATCTGATTCGTACATAGAAACTCCTGTGTTTGGATCCACCTAAAGCAGATTAGAGTGAGTAGTAAGATGAGCGATAAAGATTTGACAGAACTCAGAATAAATGGAAGAATTTGATAATACATTTCACATTTCATATTGATCAATACCCATGTCACAAACCACCATGTTAATTGTCATGGAAAGTTAACATGTATCAATCAATTGTTATCTCAATAATAAATATAATTTCTTCTGGGTTAAATATCAGAATTTGTTTTAACGCCACGTGCATTTTTTTTTTTTTTTTCCAAATATCTTTGGTTGCTTGACAGTGAAAACTTAATTAGCGTCACTGATCAAAGCTAATCCTTTTATTTTCCAGATTACCCAGAAAAAAAAAAAATTATTGCAACACCATGATAGGCAAGCAACTTAAAGGTATTTCTAGCTATCAAATTAGCTACATGTTAGTGCACCCATTAACTGACCATGTAAGGGAACTGTTGTTTTCCTCCCATTTGAGAAACCTTTAATCGAAAATTGGGGCCATTTCTCGGGCAAGGATAGTACAAGACATCAAGATCCAGAATGGAGACAATTTCCCGAACCTGTGTATGGCATCGAATGCCAATCAGAGGTGAAAAGATATAAAACATAGTGGTGCAACTAGCTATATATTCTTTAGAAGGTACCTTCCGGCAAAACGGGCAGCTGAAGGAATTCTCACATGTTTAGCCATAATGCAAACGAGAAGGAACCAACATTAGCCTTCATTTGAGCAAATGGGGGAAACAAAGTAATGACTCTATAATTAAAGTCATTAGTTTCTAAGTATATACGTTAGTGTAAATCCCAAATGGAGTAAGAAACTAATCCATCAAAACTTTTGGAACTTTTCATGCTTCATGTCTGGACTTCTATATGAAAGATAAGAAAATCGAAAGATAAGATTATACAGCTATGCTGATTTTAATATTTCTACTCCAATTGGAAATTCAAGATTAAGAAACAAAAATTCAAAGTACTTCCAAACTTTTCTTTTTCCAAAAACACGTGTACCTTTCAAACTCATATATCTCAATTGGCTTCTCAGGGCGAGGACCTACCTTTGAAGTCTCTTTCAACTTAAAACCTGAATAGGGTTAAGGAATAATCGTTTACTATTCAACCAAATGATAGAAGAACTTGTGGGTACATACACAATATATCCTAGACCTTCAAATATAGACCAAAAATTTCTTCATATGTTCAGATCAAAAACTATCTAAACTTTTAATGCAAACTCAAGTGAGCTATAACTTTCTATTCAATTGATCCAAAACAATAGGAAGAAAGTTTTACAGGGTTTCATGTTGCCAACTACATTTTTCCCTTTACCTTGAGAGATGTTTCATGTATCTAGCATTGTTCAAGTCACATACATAGTCCCTCAAAAAAAATTTACATGCTTATTTTGTGTATCTATTCGGTAAAAGGTAATATAACCAACTGTTCAATAGAAAAAACGTGAAAGATGTTTCCTCAGACAAGAAAATTCTGGAAATTTACCAGCGAATCCCAAAGCATACTGGTCAGACGGAACATCATTTTCGGGCACGACCGTCACAGAATATCTGTCATGATATTGCAGATGATTACTAAACAAAGTTAACAGAAACTCCCTACCATCCCATCTTCCTACCAATCAACTGGCATCATCAAAATCACAACAGAACTTCAGTCACTGCTACATATATTGAACAAGTGCACATATAGCATTATTGTGCAGCAATTTTGATTAGATACAGCTGAAATTCTTACAGCATCCATAGTCCTGCACAATATATGCCATGGCTATAGTCCACACCATCAATCGAACTACTGAAAACACTTCAATCCCACCATATTCACACCCCCCAGAACAAAAAAAACAAAGCCAGATACGAAAAACAAGTCGATTAAAGTAAATACCCCGAGACAAGCACACTGGAGGTGAGGCGAAAGAGCAAGGCAAGAGAAGCTCCCAAAATGTCGAGAACCTTGTCAGGCCGGACCGAGAAGGGCTTGGGCTTTGGAGCCTTGAAGTTGGGCGGCGCCGATATCGTGGTCAAATTGGGGGTTTCTGAAGCATTTGCGGACGCCTTAACGAAACACGCTCTGTTGCTTACTGATGCTCTGCGGATTGGGACTGGCCGGAAAAGTGGAGTGCGACCGAGATTCAGAGCCCCGGCCATGGTTCCCGGCGAGGATTGGGCGGAGGCTCGACGTGTCGGCTATGGAGTCGGTCGATTAGTTTAGGCTTTGGATTTGAGTTGGAAGTTGAAACCAAGTGAATGGATTGAAATGAGTCAATGATACTGTTTAACAGCTAGGAACCATAACCGAATTTTCAAGAGCTAAATATTTTTATTATTATGGGGAAATGTTGTGGTCCGGTTAGGGAACCATTCCGTTAGAGTTTGTGTTAGGGAACCATTCCGTTAGAGTTTGTAACCGTTAGATCATCATGTAATCTTCGTGGATATTTAATTTATCAGTTACAAACCCCGACAGAATGATTCCGTAACAGACCGTAGCATCTCCCATCATTATTATTATTACTAGGAAAATAATTTATCCGAACTACAACAATTTTTGCATATCACGTATAAACTTTTTTTTTTAACAAACCGCCACTTGGACTATACAAGTTTGTCAACATAAGTGTCAATACACTATTGTGAATAGCTGTAGATGACTCCATAAGTCGAGCCGTCTGATGATTTCATAGCAAAACTGCTTAAACTAGATATAAAAGTAGTTTTGACTAAAAAAAAACTGATTTTTAGTGCATTTCAGTAATTTCATATATTTTTCAAAAGAATAAAAGTAAAAATAAAAAAAAAAGGAAAATGAAGGAGGTGCACGCTCGGGAGCATTCATCTATGCTCGGGAGCTGACTCTTTACCTTCTTTATGGCGTCGGAGATGTGCTCGACTATGGCACCGGAGCCGCCAGCGGCCTCCACCGCCGCCTCTTGGAAATGACGAAATAAAAAGAAGAAAAATGATTAGCTTTTTCATATACATATTGAATTAAAATATTATTGAATTTAAATTTTCAACATGTCAAGTCAGGTATAACTATTTTTAAAGAGCTGTAAAATGGAAAAATATAAATGCAAAATATTATCCCTTTTGTTTTCTTACTTGGATAATGAGAAAAATGAGCTCTGACTACCCGGAGGGGGACAATGGCGATCGACATAACTACTTGATCTGCATTGCACAGGCACATGACCGCCGCCACCCTGAACCGCTCAGTCCGCCAAGAACCCATCTTCCCACCGCCCCGCGAGCAGGCCCCTCTCCAGCCCCTTTGCCGCGCACCTCGCCTGAAAACCGCTCGACCCTCGACGTCGTCTTGCCTCCGTAAAACTGCATACAGATATCGCAGTCAATTTCTCCGCTGGCCGCGAGAAAAATGCTCGGCCTTTTCGCATCGGACCGCTACTTGAAAAATGGGGTAATGACCCGAAACTAGCTCAACCCAGATGGGGTCAAGGTCCGCCACCTCCAGCTGTCAGGTGGCGGCGACAGTCTTCCTCCTTCCCCATTTCTCGCACCACGTCCTCGCAGCTCTCAGCATCGAGATCCTTAAGACTGCCGGAGAGTGCTCGAGCGGCGGCTCCCTCGACGACATCTCCTTTTTGCTCCACTCCGACTTCCTCGCGGATTCTGCCACCATCTACGCTGTTGTCGACGACATCGTAGGAGTTTGCCACCTACGATGCTGTTTTCTTTCTTTATTTTTATTTATATGAAATTGACCCTAAAAATTAGTTTTTTTTTTTTTTTTTTGGTCAAAAAAACTTTTATATCCTATTTAGGAGGTAATTTGACAAATCCGTATAGTTCAGGCGGTGATTTATAAAAAGAAAATTTATATGGTGATGCACAAAAATACACACACATACATACACACACATTTTTCTCTTATTATTACCTTTGAAATACACAAACACACACATACATGTAAATAGTGCCCTATCCCATTAATGCTACAATTATTAAGTTCTCACTCTTTTCTTTGAGTTAACTATGACGAAAAATTGTTGCATTTTTATTAATTGAGTAATAATCATATATCTTAATTATTTTATTATATGATAATTATTATTAACACTAACTAATTATATTTTACACCGACTGGTATATCAGTGTTACCAGTAATGATCCCCTATCTACTGTGGGCATATGTTAATATGTCAACCGCTTATTTAGCATGCACATGCACACATTGGTGATGTATTTTTGTAAACATATTAACATTACCAATGTGTGCATGCCACATAAACAGTGAACATATTAACATGCGCCCACCTTGTGTAAGGTAGCATTATTCTCAGTGTTACATAAATATTTTTGTATAATAATTTATGGTAAGTTGGCAACTAATTATATAAGAAAAAAAGGGAGATATTAATCATGAAATTAATATAAATAATATATACATTAAATAAAATATAAGACTAGTTATTTTTGTTTAACAAATGTTAATTTATATCCGTGACCCTAAAGCATGATATTTTGCCACATACAATTCTAAAACATAAAAATCGATATTTTGCCACTTATACTCAACGCATTCGATAATTATATATATGAATATTGTTAATAATTTGTTAAAAAATTAATTAATTTTACCAAACACACTACTCCAAACTACTAATTACCAAGGCCCATATCTTTCTTCTACAAACTACTAATAACAAAACTGAGGCCCATGTATTGTCTGGCCTAGAGTCGTATCTCTCCGATTTATCTCCCTCTTCTGCAAAACGAAAATCAAACTCATCCCCCACATTAATCCCCACTGCTCTGCGATTTAGGGATATTGGCCATCTCGCAAGAATTGCTGCTTCCATGCGTGTAAGTTCTTACTTTTTTTTTTTTTTTTTTTTTTTTCCGGGTTCATCTAGCTAGAGATGTTCAAGATCTGATCTTTATATACAGTGTTGTTTGCAGTGTTTGATGGAGGCTGTCATGTGTAGTTATGCCTGAGCCGGAAAAATATCCTCATTAACTCTTTGTCAAACCCTTATATCTTGACGGCCCCAACTTTTGGTACACATGAGATGAGTTTGAAGCTCACCATTGAATTGAAGATACTGAAAATTGTTTGAAAATATAACTTCTCTGAAAGAAGGAAAATAGCATGTTACCAAAACGGGCTGGCCCAGCCCGTTCTTTAGCGTTCTTCAATGTTATATGGTCTCCATAATTTAGAGGCTCAATTCTTTTTATTGATTTACTTTTTTGTTTTAAATTGTTACATTTCCCTTTTGGCCCATTTTGAAATTCGCAATACCTTTGGTTTGAGAACTCTGACAGAGGCTTTGAGTTGAAGAATGTGAGTTTTTGGTTTTAGTTGCATTTTGTCTTTTTGAGCTGAAATTGAGAGTGTGGTCTGAGGGTTTTGGCATTTGTTAGTTGTGTCCTGCGGTGCCGGCGGTTTGAATATGTGATTTTCATGTTGAGAGAAAAATCAGCTGTTGACAGAGATTGGCAGCCACCCTTGAAGGAATGCCCCGTCTCTGTGTATTTAATGTAGATATGTCTGTTAATTGGATTGAGTTTTGTGGCCAGAAATTCTAGTAGAAAAAGTTGAAAATTTGAAGAAAACAAAACTAGTTTTTATCTTCTGTTATCTGGAAACAAACTGCGAATGAGAAAATTGTGTGCGAGATATAAAGATAGTGAGATGTTCATAATCTAGAAGATGTAACTGAGACTTCAAATCAACTTATCTCTTAAAAACTTTGATAGGAAACTTAACTGGGTTGTATGTTATTTACATTTATTATACGGGTACTACATTCTCACTCGTTTTTTTTTTTTGTTTCACTGTCGTTATTGTTGTAGTTATAATCTAGGTGTAGTTGATTTCAAATAGCAAAGGAAGATGACTCCAGTCTCAACTAAGCTTTATACAGGTATTCTCTGCGTTCCTTTCTCGAATCACTCTACCCACCACAGAATTATATGTGCAAATAATATATATATATATATATATATATATATATATATTATCTCTGAAATTATTGGTTCTTCATCTTAATTTCTCAGATGATGTGAGTCTCTTGATGGTACTTATTGATACCAACCCATTCTTTTGGAACTCAGTGAAATCCACTCTCTCTTTCTCGAAGTTCCTCTCCCATGTAATTTCCTTTTCTTTGTATGGACCTGTTTATTCTGGCTAGGATTTTCGGTTAGAGCTCTGTTTTTTTGAAATTTTGTAATGTCGAACTAGTAATGATTTATTTTTCCACAGGTACTTGCATTCTTGAATTCAATACTTTTGGTGAATCAGCAAAACCAAGTGGTTGTGATTGCAACTGGTTACAATTACTGTGACTATGTGTTTGATTCATCAGCCACACAGAGTCAAAACCTGCGTGCCGAGCATTTGCTGCAGAAATTGGATGAATTTGTTGAGAAAGATGGGTCAATATGCCTTGAGGACTCGGTAGATGGGCCTGGGTCCTCACTTCTATCTGGATCCCTCTCGATGGCTTTATGTTGTATCCTTCTCACACAAAAAAAAAAAAGGAAAAAGGAAAAAAATGCTTCCATTTTTGTATTGTCTTTCGTTTCTGTAGTAATTAATTTAACACCACCCCTGTTTGTGATAGTTCTAGTGCATGTTTTTGTTTGGGCAAGAATTGTTTTACTTGACTTGGGATGACTAAATAGACATTCAGAGGGTTTTTAGGTCAGGGCCGCTTCATCCACAGCCTCGGGTCAGTTTGCTACTTGAATTATAATAGCCATTTGATTATTGTGTTCCTGTTATTGATAAACTTGAAGTTATGGATAAAATATATATATTCTTTCAATTTTAAAGCATTTAACACTTAACAGTGAAGAAGGCTCTTATCGAATTTGAATATGTATTCTATCTGATCATTCATTGCTCCAAATAATTTCTTGCTGTTGTTTCCTGCATCGATTTTATAATCCCTTGTGTTTCAAAAATTATCTCTGAATTAACCTGTATTGGCACTTGGCAGATACTATGCTTACATGGATCTCCGGATGGGCCTGGACAGTATGTAGCTTAGATTTATGCTCCTTAATTCTCCTACTTTTTTTTTTCCTTGTTCAATAATTATGCTGATATACTTTGTTGTGCAGATATGTTGCAATCATGAATTCAATCTTCTCTGCTCAACGTTCAACGGTACAAAGTGGAACCAAAGACTTTTGTTTAAAATGCAAAATTTGTCATCCGGTTATATTGTTTCCGGTTGTACAACTGCTGATATAGTTATTTATTTTCTTTCCCAGGTTCCTATAGATTCATGTGTAATCGGCCATCAAAATTCCGCTTTCTTGCAGCAGGTGGCATATGAAATGTTAATTAGTTTTCCACATTTTCCCAAATTATAAATTATTGAGAATTATATCTCTCTTGGATGTCAATGGTACCTTTTTTGAACAGGCTTCTTACATAACTGGCGGCGTGTATGTGAAGCCTCAAGTGTTGGATGGTCTATTTCAGTATCTTTCGGTAGGAACTGTACTATATTGGTGGTGTGAAATCCTGGAATTTGTTTGTTTTTCCATTATCTTTTGAAGGAGCACTCACCGTACATTTTTATCACTCTGTGAAGGAAAACAGATGTCTAGGGAAAACCTGAAAACTGTTTCTGTAGTATATTTATGTGAACAACAAGAAAAAGCCGCATATTTGTGTCTTTGTTTTTATTAAACAATATTCCAATGTTATATGTTATCCTGTTTTACTAACAAGAAAATGGAAAACAACTAGGTTATATTCGCCGATATTTAAGTTTCACAACATGAATAATGCATGCTGCATTTTCATTTTCTCTTTTATCAGTTTATGCTGTCTGGAACTGAAGTGTGTCTGTTCTTTTTCAGACTGTTTTTGCCACTGATTTGCATTCTCGCGCCTTTTTACAACTTCCAAAGCATGCAGGAGTTGACTTCCGTGCCTCGTAAGTTTCTAAGAACTTTCGAGCTCATTTCATTGATCTTTGACTTCTGCAAAATTTTTTGTGGTTTTTAAGGTTTCAGCTGATCTCACGTGTGCATGAAATATCACAATAATGTTGAGTTTAGAGTCTCCCTTTTCTATTCTGTATTGGTGCTTCTCATACATGCCTAAATGAACAACATCGATCTATTGAACAATATAACCGTGCCTACCCTTGTAATCATGAAGCCTTAGTATTGTCTCTCATTTCAAAGCTGTCTTCCATACTTCCATTAAGTTTTTCCATATCTATATTTTGTCTTAATATATAATCAATCTTGTCTAACCTCATGAGTGCTTCTTGCAATTATGCCTTTTTCCAGAGTTAAACATGAGTTTTAAATAACATTGTAGTTGAGTATCAAAACTAAAGACCTTATTATGGTGCGACTCTGCAGATGCTTCTGCCACAAAAACACAATCGATATGGGCTTCATATGCTCGGTTTGTTTGTCTATTTTCTGCAAGCATCAAAAGAAATGTTCAACTTGTGGGTGCGTTCCATGCAATCCGTCTCAGTTCCTTTTTTTTTTTAGATTATTATAATATGCCTTGATCTTTGGAGCTCAAGGTTGAGTGATTTTATACATTTTTAACAATTTTTTTTTTCTCCTCAACTACTTTGACAAGCAGGTCAGTGTTTGGTCAAGCCCAAGCCCAAGCCCAAGATTCCTCAACACCCGATCGAAAGAGGAAAATGGCTATGGATGCTTAGATTCGGTTTACTTGTAGCTTACCGTTTTGGAGTCCGATGGTTTTGATGCATAATTATGCAAATTATCCCTCTATGTTAGAAGATTTTGCTGCTTGTTGTAGTTTGATGGTTGTGAGTGATGCGTATTGTCAATAATTGTTGAGTTTATTTTCTATCGACAGGAAATGCTGAGTGTTAATTTAGTTCTCGGTCAAATTTGTGCAATAAAGCTCGTGAACAACCGGTATATATTACAGTAGCGAATCATGCCCTAAATTCAGATTTCAGGCTAATCACGTCCTAAACTCAGAAAACAAAAATATATAGAATATCTTCGTTGTAATTTATTGAAAAATTTCAATAAAAATAGTAACATTGGAATACTCAATGATTGAAAAATTTCAATAAAAATAGTAACATTGGAATATTCAATGAGTGAGATATTAAAATAGTAACATTGAAATATTTAGTGAGATATTATTGTATATAAACAGTTGGTTTTTTTATGGAGTCATCGGATGACTCAACTTATGAAGTCACCCGTAGTTATTTACAAATGATGTATTGACATGTGTCTTGCAATAAATGCACATTGGGCGTGTGTCACTACATAAAGTTATGAATGACTTCATAAGGGAGTCATCCGATGACTAATTTTTGTATAAATAGCAATGTTCTGAAAATCGGACTGGACCGGCCACTTCGATCGGTTCAACTGGGAACCGGCCAATATACCGGTCCGGTTTGAGGTATGGAACCACTTGGGTCCAAAACTGCCTGCAGACTGTTAAAACCGGGTGAAAACTGCTAAAATCGAAAAATTGATACCGGTCCAACTCTCCCAACAATTCAATTATTCATGTGGTGGTTGTAAATCACTTAAATGGCTGAATGTTTTTGTTAGTGTTTCCCATGTGGGACAAGTTCTGCTAGCTAAAATTTAGGGAACTAAAATTTGGGCCGTTGATGTGTAAAAATGATTGATATTATCTATTTATACTGATAATATTGAGGATATGAGATTGAATAAAAATTGAGTTAGATTTTGAATATGATTTTGATAGGGATAATAACGTCAACAATCGAACCGACCGAGTTCAAGGACATATGGTAGACCGAGGGTAGAATGACCTGAGGATTGACCCTATATTGACCGGCTCAAGGGTCGACCAATTGAAGGCAGATGAAGGACCGAGTGCTGAATGATTCGAAGATCGACCCTGTGTCGACCGGCTAAGGATCGACCGAGACTTAAATGGTTCGAGGGGTCGAACATCAACGGCAACATCGATTGATGAAGGGATTCAACTGGCCCAAAGAGTCAATCCTCAACCCTTTAAGCCACTGCGTGCTAGCTACTCGGTCGATAGACATTTAGGGACCATACAACTAATCACTATATAAAGGGTAAATTCTATGGTTGGAAGGTAAGACCCATTTAATACATTTAGTGTTACATTTATTGCACATTATTCTTATACTCCGAGATATTGACTTGGGCGTTGGAGGATTTTGCGCCGGAGCAATTCCGGCGCTTTTGCAGGGACCGGCAAACTCACGGACTTAGACCAAGCTGAACCGGTAGATCCACGTTCGAATCAGAGAAACCTTTCGAAAGACCGGAATCATTTATCTTGGACCTATCAGAATTGAATATGAATTGTGATTATTTATAAACAAACATGTACACCCTTAGTAATGAGCATCTGAAACTCAGTTTAAGACAATAGAATAGAGCATAGAATTAAGAGGAAAAAGTTGAGAACCCATTTCTTGTGGCCTCGAGTAGAGAATATGACTATGAGAATATGACCCATACGCTTTAGTTTGAGTTCAGATTCTCAGATTCCATTCCTTGGAATCTCTCTCTATCTGTTTCTCTCCCGTAAAAATATTTTTACGGGAGAGGGTAAAACGCCATTATTATACGTGTTCTTTGGACATTGCAACCAATAATATTTTTCTAAATAAAGGACTCGAACTTCATGAACATTCACAATTTGCAGCCTCACGTACATCATAAACATACACATATGTGTTAAATTTTGCGGATGATAGTGTGGTCAAGATGCGCGAGAGACTGCAAATTCACTACAATACGAAAACATTAAGGGTCTTTTTCTTCGTCGAACAATATTCTATTTATGATGACAAAGGGACCCTTAATGTTTTCGTATTGAACTTGCAATTTATGCAATTTGCTATATAATCAGAATATATATTTACATATATCAGAATATCAGATATGAAATGACCTTTTCTATAAAGCTAAGCTAGCAAGATTTGAACTGTAATTATTCCAAGAGTATAATTTATAAGCTCAAGACGTCGCGCCTTAATCCAACGGAAATTTTCCGTTGGAATTCTTACATTCCCAACGGAAATTTTCCGTTGGAATTCTTTATATTTTCCGTTGGAATAGCTATTCCAACGAATATTCCTACGTATTAAAATTCGTGGGAAAAACGGTCGTTGGAATAGCTAAAATCCAACAAAAAATCCCATGGAAATAATTCCTACAACTATTCCAACGGAAAAAATCCGTTGGAATTCCTCAACCATTCAACACTTATTCCAACATAAAATTAAGTTTGTTGGAATATTCATTGAAATTTTCAACGAAAATTTTTGCCGTTGGAATTTTTCGTTGGAATTGAAGTGTTTTCTTGTAGTGTACGCCACAATTACGGTCTAATGGATGACTTTTTTTATTTTTTATTTATTTATTTATTTATTTATTTTGGTACAATTTTTATTTTTATTTTTTATTGCAAATGCATCATGTATAGACATGCATTTCAACTCACATAGAGCATGTAATTATTTCTGGATTAATGAGCCTTTTTAGTAATATATTATATATATATATATATATATATATATATATGTTGTTAATTACTTAATTAGCTGGTCAATTAATTACATTAGTAAACCATATTTCACGTAATTCGGCGGCTTGAACGCTTTTATTTTAGGAGATACATCATGAGAAGAATATGATTGGATATAAGAATGTCATATGAATAAATAATGACATTGTTTATCAATTAGAGGTTAGCTGTTAGCAGATTGTGTCGGTTATATTGATGAGCGGATTGTATTAGCGATTTGTAAAATATTGTTTGGTAAAATTAATTTTTTGTAGTTAGCTGTTAATTTGTAACATTGCTTATAAGTATATTCATATGTTTTATCATCTTACATATGTTATAATTACTCAGAATATGAGTAATTATTATATTTTTTATATTATGTAAAGTAATTCAAATAATTTATTAAATGTTTGTAAAAAAACGTTTGGTAATTATGCAGCTTAATATCATATGTTAATATGTAAAATTATTCATTAGGATATTTATATACTTTAATACTTTTTATGTTACATTTATATTTATTTTGAAAATAAAAATTATTTTTTATTTTTAGTATTTACTAAGAAAATAGCTTAGCACACTATAATTTAAGACCAAATAAAAGACATGCTTATTTGTAAGATGCTTGTAGTTTTTATGGTTGTGTGTACCAATCCACCACCAATTAGGTAACTCTTCATGATAATTAATTAGACATCAACTTTGAAAGTTAGAATTATTTTTCTGAACAACTATCTTGAAACGCTGCATGTAACAACATTTTTAAAATTAGCTTTTACATAAAAAAGCTAATAGAAACATCTATTTTACCAAATATCATATTTAGCGGTTAGATATGGTCAAACAACTGAAATGCCTCAAAAAAAAAAACCAAAAAAAAAAAAAAAACTAAGGAAAAAACTGTCTACCAGACATAGCCAATATCTTTTGTTGAGTAATATAATAACGATTACATTTTATTTTCTAATTGTTTTAGTTGGATTTGTAGAAAAAAAAGGGGATGAAATGAATAGTAACACACATATGTATATATCTCTCCCTATATATTAATTAACGTTGAGCCTAAGTGGAGATTCTCACACTTCGGATGTTGAAATGGTGAAAATCGATGCTTCGTAATGTTGTTAATATATTTATTTTTGCTCTGAAGTTAGGCTTGGTATTAGACATACATAACTTTTTTCAAATTTGGTTAGTGTATATTTAATTTTGTTATTTTTTTAATCTTAGTATACATTTCCTTTTTAGTTTGGGCAAGTAGTAATCTTCCTTATTATAATTTTTTCCCATATTTCTCTCATAAATTACAATTTACAAATTACTTTATGTACTACCTATTCCTTTTTTCTTTTTCAATTAGTCCAACAAAATTTTTAAATAAAAAAATATTTTAGTAATAACTTGGATCATTTCTTAACTCAACACCCGTATAGTACACGAGTATTGTACTAGTATATATATTTTTTGGAAACTTCAGTTTTCAATAAGATAAATCTTGGCTCCAATTGCAAGAATTCCATTGAAGCCTAAAAAATAAAAAATAAAATAAAAAAAATAACATAAAAGAGAAAGAAAATGAGATAGTAATCATGCAAAAACAATGACTAGTTCTTAACTATTTCCTTAGTAGTATGCTTGGAACTTGCATAGAGTAGAAAAGAAAGAAAAATAGGTAACCCGGGAGACTCACCCACCACTGTCAGGTGAGCAACCCGGGTCAACCAACGTATTAGTCGGGGCATAGCTCCAGATACCGTGTCTGGCTACCAAAAAA